TTTCGTATTAGAAGTGGGGACGCTGTGCAAATGTGTATTTCACCCAGCAGGAACGCTTCAAAATCCTAATTCGCAACTAGATATCTTGAGGCATCCAGTACGAAATGAGAATTTAATTTATAATTTGGAGAAAAGAGCACAAGCGATGAAAAAGATGTGCCAAGATGCAAGCAGAGCCATAAACTCGCGTTAGGTAGGAATTTGCTGATTTAAAATGTATTAAGAAAACGTAAGTGATATTCAGTCAGTTTCTATTGTGTATTTATAATGTAAATATTAATGAACTATGAGAAGTTCGAAAACATGAACATGTAATTTTTGAAAGTTCAAACGTTTTAATGAAAATGGTTTTAACCAATGAGTAATAATCGAATCAGTACATTGTGACGTTTTCGTGCAAAATATTTAAAGGCAAATTTGACGCTGTCGCGGAGGAAAATGTGTAGATATTTTTTTTAAAAGTTTATTTCAAAATTACTAACATTTATCGAAACTGTACATACGTTTTTCAATCAAAAATCGAAATATAGATTCAATTTTTTTTAACTGATCTTTCATCAAACTTAACTAAGGTTAGAATCGAACTGCAATCAAATAATTGTAATTTTCGAAAAATTTGAAGTTTTAATAAAAGATGGGCCAAACAATTGATTTTAGAGCCAGTCTAGAGAGAAAAAATTGTAAATGTTCTACTGGCTTCATTCCCAAAATAACAAAATTACCTTTTTAAAACAAGCCTCAAGTCGTCTCCAAGACGATGAAATCACTGGTGCTTGTGGACGGACAGACAGACGTTTTTAAAAAGCTAGTGATGCTACAACAGCACATACTTTTCACATTGTAACCTTAAAACGCCCGTAATGTCAATATCAACAACATGACAGATGTTTCAAAAAATATCAATTCACATTTGTATTTAAAAAATCAAAAATTTAACCAAAACAGCCTTTATACCATTGTATTCAGTGCATTTTGTACAATCCGTACAAAAAGTGTAAAGAAAAGAATTCGAACCGTATTTGAGAAAATTTTATTTATTGTTCATATTTGTTTCATAAAAATGTTCATATTTCACTGAAAATTATGTAAACTGTGCTTATATTTTTTAAATGTACATGACATTAATTAAAGAAATAATTGTGAAGAACAAATTGTATTTGAAAAAAATTCACCTAAATATTGTAGTTGTACGACGGGATCCAAAAAATTTCTTTTTTCGCAATTTTTCTAAAATAATGATTTAACAGTTTCTCTACCATTTTTATAAGTGTATTTCACTCTTTTCTTACAAGAAACGTAAAGAGAAAATTTTGAAAAAATCCCTGGAGTTTCATGTAAAAAGTGCCACCACCACTTAAAGACGATTGTCAAAATCACAGGGCTTTGAGGCGGACCTAATCGATCTTGGAATATTTTATGCCAACGGACCTACCCACAGACATATGGACAGACTGGCGGATGGACAAGCTGACGGTTTGGATAAAATCCTCGACAATAGTGATAAAATACGATATAGTATAAGCAAGTAAAAAAGTGATATCGTAATTACTCTCACGTCTAATCTACACACGTAGAGGGATCATGATATTACACCCATCGCTTCTCTTTTCTCTCGCTCAGGAAGGGCGATTGCCCGTTCCATAATTAGTTTACGAACAGCCGTACGGCCAATCACAAAATTGGCTTCGTTGCATTGAATGTGCGGCCAGGAAGTGAATTATTGAGAGAGCCGTCTATAGGTCTTGTGTAGTGAAATTATGTTTTATCGTTGGAAATTGCGGTTACCCTTTTGTATTGACAGTATTTTTTGTTACTCTTGTGGCTCAATGGCCGTTTTCGTGAATTATTTAGCAGATATGTGTACCCGTCATTAAGGTTTTAACGACGCTTTGTCTTCTTTTAAATCATAATGGAACATTGGCATCGTATTTATAGTATGTCGGTAAAAGATAAATGAGTTGATCGGTTAGCTGTTTGGGAGTTGAAATAATTATATCTACGAAGAGATTTTCGGGACCAAGCGAGTGGATTCGCAGTAACGACATGATATACAATTTGTGTGCTTGACTTAGGAAAGGAAGAAACAAATGACTTCTGCATTAATAGATGGTGAATATTTGAGTGATAATATATATATTTTAATCAAAAAAGTCTAAAAATCATTCCTTTTTTCATTTTTTTCAAAATAACTGAAATCTGACTGGTGACCGTTCTTGGTACCTATTTATTTAACAATTCTCCATTTCAAAATCCACATTTCACCCGAAGGTTATCCCAAGATCGCCCCGTCATGATAAAAGTACATATATGTCAGGGTCTGATAAACGGTCTATACAGATACTCGGTAGAGAAATATTTACGTAAAGAGTTATATTATTCCCTTTTTACGTATGATTAGGATACTCTTGTTAATACTCAGAAATAACAACACTTCTTTCAGTTACATTTCTATCTGTATTAATATGTCAGCATATATATTCATTCAAATAGTCTATTGAAACAACCACAACTATAAGTTTTTTAAACCACATGCCTGTCCTCACATAAATTCTCCTATTCACATTATCTAATATACGCTACAAATCCCTCCCTCTTTGCATGCATGGCCATATTTCCTCGTAATTATTAATTTACAAATTTCACTTTAATACAGCACTTGGTCTTCCTACAGTGGAAAATACAAATAGAAATAAATGTTCCCCATTTTGCTACTTTCCTTGCGCAGATCAATCGCACTCTTGATCGTCGTCTAGTTTCCATTCAGCCTCCCTTTCTAATAAAACTCGGTCCGCTCCGATGGTTTTCGCGATCTCCCCACACATAATTATATTTCCTCTCTAATTGTGCATTTCCTACCTTAAAATATCACCTTTACAAACTTACAATTCAGTCTAATTCATCCCGCAACAAAATAGCTTTTCCTCCTACATCTGACTCTCACTGTATCCGAACATCGTGTGCCCCGTTTTTTCATTTGGCGCGACCTTCTGTCTCTCATCTGCGCGAAATTATACTCAAACACGACTATTTTTCGTTTCTCGCGCGCCGATCCTTCGATTCTTCTCACACGATCTAACTCCTGATTGGTCACACACATTCCAACACATTACCTCCTTATTCTTTGGTTTCCTGCTCGTATAGAGCGATTTTTATAAGAATGGGACGTTTTGACAGCTAGTGCTGGCAACACAAATGAAGGTTCTGTGTTTATTATGTTCTTGGGCCTATTAGACTTCCCTTCCTCCATTCGTTCGTTTGCAGTTGGCTGACTTATAACGCTTCGTTTTGTGATGTCCTCGTCCGAAGAAAATATAGTGCGCCACGAGAAATAACTGAAATTAGGAAGTGTAGAGCTATGTGCTCTTCTGTAAAGTTTTTATAAACATTGAATTTAGTTTTTACGTGATAAGTATTATGTTCGTTTTAAAGTTGAGTCTTGAATGGGAGATGCATACTGGTGACGGTTCACGTCTTTCCGGCTTCTGCGTTTTAAGGCAACGAGCTGTGTTCGTGAGCAATTTCGTGGTTCGGTTCTTTGCTTTATATATAATATTTTATATATAAAGTAAAAGATGGCGTTCACTGTTTAAATATTTCAATTGGTAAGAGTAAATATAAAGAATGTGCTTATTATTCATACAAATCATAAGTGATGAAAATAGACATACTAGTTAGGTTAACGAATGCAGTGATATACAGAACATGAGTGACATACAAACCAATTCAATAAAACAAGTCACATTTGAGCTATGAGGTGTAACAGTTGTAAATAAACCACGCTCACTACACAAATGCATGAGCCATCCGCTGTGAAATGCCCAGGAAAGGTATTTGAGCGACCGTGAAAAATCATTTTTCTTTCTATATACATTCGTGGCAGTTTTCTTGTACTGAACGTATCGATTCCAAAATAAAGCTCACCTCGGTTTATTTTCTATACCCCCATTGTTGCTGTCGTCCACATTTACGTAAATGCATTTATTCTATTTAATTACCTTTGTGATTATACTTATTATAAAAGCCTTATAAAACTTATAAAAGCCATTCATTTTTCGAAAATAATGGCCCCATATGAAATAAAAGACGATAAAATTACCTTCATTAAATTCCTTTAAAATTTGTTCTCCAATTAACGGGGTAGCCCTGAGAGCACCGTGAAATTTGATGATATAAGCGAAACTTGTGAATAACGGGAATTATACCTCTTTATCTCAATATAACTTAAAAATCATCAATTTTTCGTAAATATTAATCTTATATGAAATGAAAGATGATACAGAAAGGGGTTTTCTCAGTAACATCCAGGAATATTTTGAACACTAACGGCGGTACCTTTGATCCGAGAAGACAACCTTGTACACATAAAAGGTGGGCTATTTTATCCTTATTAATGGTCATTTGTCATTACCTACAACTAAAGTGTGCAGTTGAAATGTAGTTGGTCTTGGCCGTTTTATAGGCAGAGTTGCAATGGATTAATTGAAATCAGTCGACGTTTTTTTAAATTAATTGTTAGCGAAGCTAATATAGAAGGCATCTTGAGAGCAAAAAAGTGTTTTAAACGCTAAGATTATTGGGTGTATATGAATGTAATATTCAGCAATCAATTGACACACGTGTCCCTTTACAAAAAAAATATTCAGTGTTTATAATTAAGTAATGCATTACGTTTCTAAGTTAAGATGGATAACATTGAATTATCTGCTGAAGTCCACTACTTCATACATGCTAAATGTATGATAAATATAAAACATTTCAATTACATTTCCAGAAACCTATTGAACACCTTGTTTACAGTGAATAGTGATTGTATTGTTCCAGGATGTGTAAACCTGCCTCATTTTGTTCGTCTGGGAGAATAAGTACTTAACAACACGAAACATTATTTTGATGTTTCAATTTTGCTTGCAGTTCATATGTTGAACTTGTATATTGTAACTTTTATTCAGTTCCTTTTTGCTAAGCAATGGCAGAGCCCTAATATCGCTGTGTGTTGGCAGGCGCCGCCGCGTACGACAGCGTGCGCCCGCTGGCCTACCCCGACGCGCGGGTCTTCCTGCTCTGCTTCCGGATCGGAGACCCGGACTCCCTGGAGAACGCCGTGCGCAAGGTAACATTCTCGGGCCCTTCAGGGGCGGTTTCATTGTTGCATAATACATTCTCACAGGACGCCAAGTGACTTGAGTATCGAATCCCAACTTTTCATGCGATGCCCCACTCCTCTCCGGCATGGCTCACTCTGCCACCATCCCCCCGCTCTCCCAACTCCGCCCCGTCCGGCCCCGCTCCACCCTCCCCGCTCCGCCTCGCTCCGCCCTCCCTGCCATGNNNNCTATCCCTGCCTCGTCACACCTGGCTCCGCCCCGTTCCCCACGCCCCACTCCTCCCGCCTCGCCACGCAACGCTCTCCCCGCTCCGCCCCATTCGGTCCCGTTCGCCCCGGCTGGCCATGCTCCGCCTCCCGCCCTCCCCGCTTCGCCTCTGAACGTCCCGTCCCGCTCCGCCCCTCCTCCACCGGCCTGCTTCGCTCCGCCCTTCGTTGCCCGTTGCATGTTGTTCCCTTGTAGCCGTTCAGGAGAATACTTTTTTTCAAAAATCCTTCCATAGTGGCATACGGCGTAATAGGAATCTAAGTGTCAAATTTTTCGTTTCCACTCTCAGTACTTTCGGAATGTCAGTCAGCCAGTTTTATAATACAGATTAAACACGCAGATGAATGTGTTGCAATAGCGTGGTTCTGGTCACAAAATGTTGCGGTCTACTTGGTTCACCTCAATTAATAACAGACTCCCGCGAGTTTACCTCGTGTGTTCGGGTGCGTTTGTCTGTCGTGTATTTTGGCTACCCCATCAGTTTAAACAAAAAGAAATATTGAAATTAGTATTCCCCTTCGAACTGCTGGTCAATGTAAAAAGTTATTTCGGATCATGTTCCAGACATTCCACGTTTTTTTATAACTGGACAAATAAGTATAATAATACATTTTAATAACGTAAGCTAGAATTCAATGTGGGTCTGGAATAAAATGAATATGTAAAACAATACACTTGAAACTATACAATTTAAAGTCTTTCCAGGTCGTGATGTTCTACGCCATCTTATTTCCAACTACCCTTTGCCAGCTGAATTAGCTCAGAGTCAGTATTACCGTTATCTCCGCAGCGCCTCTTACCGGGAGGTCCTAGAGTTTGAGCCTCAGCAGTGGTCGATTTTCTGTACTACCTAGATAGCTAGGTGGAATGCAGCAACTGCGCTGTCTGGAGGAGAAATATAGCAATTGTTTAGTACTTTTCCGTAGTTTCGCCGACCAGTAGCAGGTGAATATTCTCTTAAATCCCTCGGACGGCGCGAGAACTTACCTATTCTTCTTTATCCTCTCCTCTCCCCTGCGGACACGCACTTACACTTACATGCACTGCACTACCACACACGCCGGGAGACAGTCGGGCTCTCAGAGCGTGCCCAGCTATAGAGGTGCCGCGCTGGGAAAGTCACTTGGAAAGACAAACCCCTCCAATCCCACGTGTAAGTCGGCTAATGTCCATAACTGGTGTCGCCTTCAAAAGATCAAAACAATCAAACAATAAATCTGCCCTTCGCTATTCGTCACGCCTGAAATGTGTTTTCTCGAGAACGTAAAGAAAATTAATTCTTAATATAGTACAATTTATATTAATTGATTCACTGATATACTTCTATTTAAGTCTTAATATGATTCTAATTGTAGTACCTGATGAGGGAGATGTACCAGACTCCGAAACGTTTTGATGTTTAACAATTTTGTAAATTTTAAGAGTTTTTGTGTTTCGGTTTTATTTGATTATAATATCATGACATGTTAGAATCTGGAACTACATATTTTCATGATTTTCCAAACTTAAATACAAATGTACAAATGTTCATTACATCACGTTCTGACGCATGTAAGACGATTTCATGTACCTGCCAATCATATGAGAACATGAGGTTGCCTAAAAATTAGGGGCAAATGCCACATGTGTAAATGCACTATACTCCGTTATTTGTAACTAGTGAACTCGGCAATGCTTCGCTATAGCAGTGTATTACATATCACACACTACTGACCACGTGATTGTTAATCACGTTTTACGCTACGCTGGGCAAAAATTATAATAGACGAAAGACTTTCTCGAAAGTATGGGTTTGTTCTAAGTCCTGGTTTGGACATGGTTGCTAAGTATCATATTGTTAAAACGTTATCCCTGAAATTTGGACAGGCTTTCGCTCTGACACCATCTTGCAGAAATTTCATTTACGTGTCCAAGATTCAGGTAATAATTGCAGCCGATATTTCACTATCGCAGGGGCAGAATACTTGTATGCGGTGAAGACGCGCTTAATACTTGTCTGTGCTGCGTGGTGCATAGAGTTCAGTTCTTGAGTCGTCATAAACGAATAAATCAACAGCTCCCCCAAATGTCCAATTTAATTGAAATGACTCTTTAAATACTTCCATTACTAATAAGAAGAATGTGAAAATTTCAGCGAGATCAGTCGAGTAGTTTTTGCTTTTATGTGCGATACATATAGCTTTTATTTATAGATTTTCCAGTACATGTTCATTGGAAAATATTATTTTAACCCCCTGTAAATGCCCTAGACGTTTATTCTGAAATACCTGTAAAGAGAATGCCAATTTTAAATCAAAGCTAAATATTACTAGATAAGGCGAGCGTTACCTAGATGGGTATCCGCTTCGCTTCTTAATGCAAGTCCTTCTTTCTGGAATAAAATAAGTTAAAGAACAAATATTATCACTAAGTAAATATATATTATCACTTGATGAACTTATATACATTAACTTAAGAGATTTCTTCAGAGCAAAGAATTGCTGTATGTCACCCAGCTTAATATATTACCGTTTGTTTTCTTCAATTATTTTCTGGTACAATACGTTGTCATAACACTGTCACTGGCTGTCATGGTTGTTGTCACCCATGTCATGGTT